TTGGGGGGGGGGGGGTGTGGGTGCCTCTTGTTGACGTTGCAGGTGTGAGACGAGGTGCGACTGTGGCTCAAACTGGCAGGGGGCCTTACCATCGGCAAGCACGCTGAGCCACGATTGTACCAGCAAAGGAGTCCAGACGCGGTTTTCAGTGCTTGAAGGTCGTGAGGAATAAAGGGTTTGGGATCTGAAGTGTAGTTATGGCGTGTGAGACGCGTGTTTCAAAGTTTGGGGGAGGCACGACAAGCGTTGGCTCATTCTTAACGTTGGGCAGGAGGACAACAGTGAACGCACATGCTCTTGATGATGCCCAGGGCACACTGGAGAGGGGGGTGGATGGCCGCGCGCGGGGCCAGAGCCTCGGCGAGTTGGTAGCACGCATCGGGCGAGTGTAAGATGCAAAAGTGGGGCCGCGCCAAGACAATGGTCTCACAAACATCCACGCATAGATCTTGCAATTGCAACAACTGGGCAGGTCGGGCAATTTGGTTGAGAATGCTGCGCGAGCCAACTACGCGCAAAGAGGATCACGGGCAGAAAGAGGCACAAAGGCAAGATGCGAACCTGGGTGCTCTCGCCCTGAATGGGGCGGCTGATGAATGGTGTCAGCTCGCTAACAATAGTAATGCATAGCTCTTGTGACTCAATGGCTTGTTTGAGAACGTCGGTGAGATATGGCATGAATGCAAGGGCGCGCTGGACCTGGTTAGATAGCAACGCAGAGCAAAGCACCGGTGAGGGAAAGCAGGATACGGTTCACACTTTTGAAGGCAGTATGCAAAGCAGAGCAAAGGCAAAAAAATATCAGACCGTTTCTGTTGTGGCCGGCGGGCTGGCAGCCAATATTGTGGGGAGAAGAAGACCTTTGATTAAGATCATGTGACTTAGACAATCCTGTTCAGAAGCAGTGGTATGATAAGATCCTAGTACATCGGGGCTCGAGCAGAAGCGTGCGCTGAACGTAATGCAATGGGATACCTCGTCCAGCCCCGTGAGCATCAAGCGCCAAAGATATTGCCATTCGTCGATCAAGTCCTTTGAATTATTGGCGGGCGAGCCCATGGCCTGCTGGTAATAGCATTGCTCAAGCCGACCTTTCGTGCAAGTATATTTTACCAAGTGAGAAGGAATCAAGCTACACGAGGGACCCAATTGAGTGCACATAATTTTCATGGTCGTGGGGATGCAACGAACGGGCAATCTCGTGGGTCCACACATCAGCCGGCGGCGCCGGCCCCGAAGATTTGATACAGCTGTAAGCCTGAGAGCAGAAGATTGTGTCAATTCGGCCACGGAGTGCCACTTTAAGGTGGATGGAGTATGGTGCCAGTGGTCGTAGGAGAGAGGCATACCTTGATGAACCACACAGCTCTTTTGATGTGCACTCTATACTCGAGAAGACACTTCAAGTGTTCTTGTGGTTCGGCCACTGGAAGCTGAAAAAGGGGGTTTGGTGAGGGGCAAGTTCCAAAAAAAAAAAAAAAAAAAAAAAAAAAAAAAAAAAAAAAAAATTCAATCCCAACAGTGGCAGTCACATTAACCAAAAGGATGGGGGAAGGGCATCTCAGGGTTCAAGTGGCGTGGCAAATGAATGGGGTTTCCATAGTGGGACGGTCTAACCGTGACGGGTTCCTCAATGTCAACGTCAAGATTGGCAAGATGCTTGTACCAATCATCTGAGCGCTTGCGCTCTGAGCGCAAGGCACGTTTCCAGTCAGAAAAGTGGCTGGTAATTTGCGTGCCCGCCTGCTCCGATTGTATGCTGAGCACGCGATTGAGCTGTTTCGCAAAGGTCTGTTCGAATCCATGTCAGGTGGGCGAGCGGCGATGCATGAGTCGCTAGGGCTGCTGGTAAAAGGGGGAATCAAAGGAGGCGTAAAAGTTGCGGACAATGCTTACTTCGGCAACACGATGGAGGTTGTTCTTGTTGGAATCGAGGCGTTGTGTGGCAAAGGTCTATCGAGGGGAAACATAGGTGCCATGAGGGCCCGGCTTGCGACGAGATGGCAAGACGGCCATTGTTGAATCAAAGGCAGAGTCTCTCTACCTCGCCGCGGGTTTGGATAGGCTCTAGCCGAAATCCACGAGTAGCATTCTGTTGATTGAGCTGATTCTGTGGCCGGGAGAGGGACCAGGCGGGGCCGCAAGCAAAAGGCATGGCGTTTAGCGCATGAGCGATGTCTGAGTTTGCAAACAAAAATCATTATGCATGCGACCCAATCGTGGTGTGGGTCGTGATCAGAGTGGGCAAAGAAGCAGCAGAAGCCGGGAGCCGCGGTGTCAGACCTCGGGTTGACTGCGGGTTTGACGATAGAAGCCGTCACGTCGACCCTGGCGATCAGACGTTGTGCTGATTCGGCTCGACATGTTGTGCTCGTGGTTGTGCTGCCAAGGGTTCGGCGAGAGAGGGCTGCCAAGCTTTCAGACTTGGAGCAGAGGCGGGGTGCAAGCGTAGGATACAACTCCTACGGGGAGCCACGGCCCCCCTGAAGCCAGCGGCACAATGGGCGCGACCTCACTTTCGAACGCACAAGGGTGTCAAGTATCAAGCACAGCGAGATGATGACCCCAAAAAAGAAAGAAAGGAAGGAAATGCTGGCAGCAATGGGGGAACAGAAGTTGTCCAACAACTCGGGTATGAATCGTCCCTAAAGCAGCACAAGCAATGGAAGCACCAGGTCTAGTCGCACCACCAGCACCACCACCAGCCCCAGCACCAGCCCCAGCACCACCAGTCGGCGCCCAGAAAAACTAAAAAAAAACTGGCCGACAGCAGATCCAGTGAGATAGTCTGATATATATCACTCTTTGGCCACAACTCAAGTGTTTAAACAACCTCCTCTAAAATATAAATACACGAGGGCGTGCATGAGAAACACTCGATACGCAAAAGGCGCTTTGACTGCACATGCTTATCGCTTTACCTTCTACGTGAAAACACTGCTCAAGAGAATCTGATGACGTTCGCATGTGTTGTGTAATGCTCCTGTGTGTAGAGAGAGAGAAAGCGAGAGAGAGAGAAAGAGAGAGAAAGAAAAAGAGAGAGAGAGTGTGTGTGTGTGGAACAACACGGATTTTTCTGGAGCTGTTCAAGATCTTTTGATAAAGGTGCACTGCACGCGCGCATAGAGAGAGAGAGAGAGAGAGAGAGAGAGAGAGAGAGAGAGAGAGAGAGAGAGAGAGAGAGAGAGAGAGAGAGGTAACGGTGACGGTGACGGCGAGAACCGTAGCGGTGGTGGCGCAGCTTCATTGGTGCGTGAAAGGGTTGCTGGTGTTGGTTCAGTGAAGAGAGTGTGGGGTTTGGGCAGAGGGGACGGGCTGTGCAGACTGGAGCGCCGAACCCTCAATCATAGAACCTGCCATTTCCTTGTAGCTTGAACGAACACCATCTTGCAAGTGCTGCAAGTGCTGCTGCCCGTGCATAGAGGCAACTGCTTCCGCCCAAGCTCCGCGCCTTGTTTGGAGCTGTGCTATCGTATCACCCAGTGGCATACCTTGTCAACGTGTGGCCAGGCTTGCTACAAGGCCGCGCTCCTAGTTCCTGCTCACACACTCAGGCTTCGAGCCAGCCTGCACGCGCCGCCTTGCACGCGCCGCGCTGGTACGGCACCCAGGCCAGCGAGTTTGGTACTCTGAACAACGACCACCCTGTGAACACTGCAGATCCGAGTCATGGGGAAAACCTTGATGGACACCGTGCGCTATGCGCACGGCGTCTTGTTCATGGTTCCCGCTACCCTGGCCCTCTGGTTTCTCATCACCTTTGCACTCACGCCTGTGGTGCCCTTTCTGGTCTTCAAACCGACCCACTTCATGTACATGGCCGTCTTCATTCGCATCATGGACTACTGGCTCCCCTTTGTCTGCCTCAGCCTAGAGTGGTTTGCCGGCGTTCGCGTTCACTCCACCGTGGATGAGGACACCATCCTCAAGTCTGAACCCGCCCTCTTCATCTCGAACCACCCCACGCACCTCGACTGGCACCCCATCTTTTGCCTGGCTGAGCGCTTCAATCAGGGCATCTTCATGCGCATCCTACTCAAAGACGAACTTCGCAAAATTCCCATCTTTGGTGTCGGCTGGCAGCTGGCGCTCTACATCTTCCTCAAGCGCACCGATAAGGCCGCCGACATGCACTGGATCAAGACCATGATTGAGCAATGGAAGCAATCAGACGACCCAGGCTCCTTCCTCATCTTTCCCGAGGGCACGGACATGGCCTCTCGTAACGTAGAACGCTCCCACCAGTTTAGCCGGGAGCACAACCTACCCACATACAACTACATTATCCATCCTCGCACCGCGGGGACTGTGGCCATCCTTCAGCACGCCCGGACCCATCTCAAGGCAGTCTACGACATTACCATGGGCTTTCAATACTATCGTGCCGATGAGCGACCTCGCGAAAAGTCTTACCTCACGGGCCGCTTCCCTCCTGCCGTTCACATGCACATCAAGCGCTACCCCATTGAAGAGCTTCCCCAATCCGATGAAGATGCCGCGCAGTGGATCAAGGACCGTGCGTAGCCCCTTTCCGTCTCACCCTCTGTTCTCCGCCTATCGACCTCCAAACACACATCAGCCTTGATACAGATACGCAAACCGAGTCGTATCCTAGCTTCCCGTCTCGTCCTTCATCGCGCATGTATGGTCCATCTCCTTAGGTTTTGCCGAGAAGGAAACCATGCTCAAGGCCGCCTATAACGGCCTGGATCGTCGCCACGAGCCCTTGCAGCTGCCTGGCAAGCCTTTGCCGTGGTACCAGGAGCTGGCCATGCAGCTACGCTTCATTGCCTCTATCGTCGCCACCCTCTTTGTCATTCTGGCATTTGGCCCAATGCTTTGCAATTGGTGGGCCTTGATTTACGCCATCGTGGTCACCGCTGCCTGGCATTACATTGGCGCCACCATCGGCATTGATCGTCTCCTGGTCAAGTACACTTTGGATGAGGACCAAATGAGCGCCGAGCGCAAGGAGCAATAGTCATTGCTCGATGCACGCTAGCCATGTCGCTGCTGATATGGATGATTCACCCGTGGCCCTGATCGGGATGATCCCTTGAGCTAGGGCTGTTGCCAACTCATGTCTGATCTGCAACACGTTGTGTGAATCTCCCCTTCAGGTCTTGTCCACCTTTCCTTTCTTTATAATAGATGTCAAGCCCAACCCAGAGACACAACCTGAGCATTCGCATGTCCAAACACTCACAACATTATTCATGATGCCTCAGTCAGTTGAGAAGAATTTCTAGAATAATTACACCCCAGGGGATTTTAGAGCTTTGATTGATGGAAGCATGTAGAGCACATGTGCTGTAGACAATGCTTGCTCACGACAGAACCAGTAAAGAAAAGTACAAGGGATAACATGAAATTATCAACAGCCAACTACAAGGCGAGACGTTTCAAGAAGATAGCAACTGAGGATGGGAAGCAACAGCCTGTCAAAAATAACAACCTCGCTCCAAAAAATTAAGTAGCCTAGACAAGCAAAAGCAAAACAACGCGCCACAAACAGAGGAGAGTATACAAATAACTAGCAACACATACATACATACATACACACACGCGCACGCACACACACACACACACACTGCCATCGACAGGTGGACATGCATGGATGTGACGCCCGTCACAACGAATGGACACTGCACTACTCATAAACAAGAATAACGCGGGACCACAGGTGTCGGTAGACTACCAGGAAAAATCAAACTTGAGATCGTTGAGTCGAGCTGCAGATTCAAGGACAGCAGCATCGCGTTGCTTTTCCAGCTCGGCTTGCTCTTCTGCAGCCTTCTGTTCGATCTTGGCCTTCTACTCTCGTTGAACCCATTCACAAAAATAAACAAGCCCGGAGCCAACAATTGAATGTGCGGCCTTGTAAAGCTGATCAAGGAAAAAAGGGAAAAAAGGAAAAAAAAAAGGGAAATGTTCACCAGCCGCCCAAGTGAAGACAAACCTCTTCCGCTAGCATTCGTTGGTACGCCTCCTTGTCAAGCTGTGCTTGCGCAGCAAGCTGGCGGCGATGCTCCTCGGCTTCCTGTGTTGAGCAAGTCCGCATAGAACGGATAATACATGAGTTTAAGCGAGACAAAAGGATCGGGAAGACGGCGATAGAGACGAGGCAGAGCAAGGGGTTAGCATGGGTTGCTCGCGCTCTGACCTGTTCACGCTGCGCTCGGTTCGCTTCGAGTTGTTCGAAAAAGGCCATAGTCTCAGGGTCAAACACTTGGCTCATTCGTTCGTGGCCTGTTTGATCGAAGTGACGCGAGCGGTGAGGCAGTACGCTTGACCCGAGTCACGAAATCAAGCCGTACGCAGGAGGAGGTTCGGTATCACGCGCACCTCCTTCTTCTTCAGCTGGCAACGGGCTGGTTGGACTACTGGCACGCCGCAGGGCTGAACCTCGGCGGTGCTGACTTCCTTTCCGCCCCAGGCGTGTTGAGATCCGGCGCATCAGGCCGCCACTTGTCCGTGGTTTGGGCCGCGCCTCCTGAGAGCAATTGGACGTTCCCAATGGGAGTAAGGATCACCTTCTGTTACCCAGAACAAACAATTCGAGCCTTTGGATTCAAGTGGACAGATGGTCAAGGCAGAGCAGGGGCATACATGGTTCGAGTCATGACGACTGGGGCTGCGCGACGGCAGCTGGGCTGACTCAGCCGACGGGGAAGCTGGAGTAGACGTGTCTGTTGCTTCTTGCTGACCAGACTCTTCCATTGGCTGCTGTGAAACAGCTGTCTCCGGTAAAGCACTGGCCACTGGGGGTGAAGGAGGTGGAGAGGGGGCAGGAGCAGCCACAGGTGGCGGAGGAGGCGGAGGAGGCGGAGGAGGCGGAGGAGAGGCAGCCACAAGTGGCGGAGGAGGTGGCGGAGGAGGCGGAGGTGAGGCAGCCGCAGGTGGCGGAGGTGGTGGTGGCGGAGGAGAGGCAGCCGCAGGTGGCGGAGGTGGCGGAGGAGGTGGTGGCGGCGGAGAGGTAGCCGCAGGTGGAGGTGGTGAACTGGTGCCACTAGCCAACGTGGTTGCTCTCTCCTCTTGACGTTCCACGGGTGTTTGAGACACCGCGCCGCCGCCATTGGTCGCTGACAGCGCCTCAGGGCCACGAAGCGGATGCTTTTGGTTGCAGTTGATGCAAAAGCCAGGCTTAAAGGCGTGTGGCTTGAAGCCATCTGGGCACGCACCACCTCCCATGGCCACATGCACTTCATAGGGATGACCGGGGCCTTCGTTTTTGCTCTACACGACATGGCAGCTCATTTGAGTTGGCAAAGATGCAACAACTCGGGCAGTTGTTCATTATTCAACAGAACAATGTCCGGCGCGATTTGGACAGGACATCAAGGCACAGAACATGATGCACATGACACAAACCTTCGTGCGCTTGGGCCTCTTGAATTGGAGGATGGTAGCTCGTGCCGGCTCCTCTGCATCAAACTTGGAGCCCCGGCGCGGCTTTGGCTTAGCACGCTCTGATACCTTGGTGTTGAGCAAAACAGCCTTGGAGTTGCGTCGCTGGCCCTTGAAATTGCCGGCCACATCATTCTACCATAGCACATGCAATGCCAAGAAGATGAAGATCATAAAAAAAAATAAATAAAAGCCTCCAAAAACAACCAAAAAACAACTAAAAACAATCAAAAACGAAACAAAAACAAAACAAAGACCACACGGGTTCTGAAACGGTCAAACTCAACCACACCCTACAAGGCAGCAATCGGAACTCACCCGCACTGAAGCTCGAGGAGCCAAGGCTACCGATTCAGTCACAAATGCTACAGAAGAACGTTTTTTCTTCAAGTGGGCTCGTCGCAAGCGCATGACTTCGCGGGCCCGATAGCCACGAAAGGCGGCCTGAATGCGAATGGCTGCTGCAACAGGCGACAACTGCGGTTTGCTTGACGCCGGTGGACGAGGTGGCGGGGGTGCCGGTTTGCGAGCAGCAGGTGAAATGGGGTTTGCTGCTCGAACCTCACCCACCACCGGTGCCGATGGGCGACGGGGAGGAGGCGGCGGCGGGCCGCCCACGGTCGTGCGCACAACCAGCTCTTCGTCGTTTTCCAACCACACCAGGCTGTTAAACGCAAATTCATGGCCCGTGGGTGGCTCCACGCTCTGAAATTGCAAGGCATGTGGTGCATCCTGGTAGACGGGAGAGGCTGGGCGGGATAGCGGGCGCTGGGCAGCCAGAGTTTGCAGTTCGGTCCACCGCTCCCCCAAGGCCTCGACCACGCTCTCACGACGCTGCTGGTTCTGCAAACGATCAAATGCGCGGGCCATCTCTGCGGCTGCAGCCAGATAGTGCAGTCGGATAACACCCTCGTTGTTGCTGCGTCGGTCTAAGAAGATCTCAGCCTGACATCGCGAAACGGCGTGCAATAGCATTTTGCGACCCTTGTTGGCGTAGCCCATGACAACGGCCTGCAAAGCGTGGCGAAAAGCATCAACGGAGAAAATGCGCAGCATTTCGCCCTTGGCCACGAGACGCACTCGATTGGCATTCTCCGAGGGCAAGCCAGGTGCCCAAACTTGAGCATAACTTTCAAGGCTCCGCACCCGCACGGAATGAGGGCTGTTGTTCTTGAGGTAAACGTTGCCATCGCGCGGGTCCACAATCAAGATCAGAGAGCCGTCCTGCAACAGCTCATGGTGCCGCTGTCGATCAGAGTCACCCTGAACTGCGGCCAGATGAAGAACGGCCGGATCGTCGGCTTGCACCTTGCTGTCCGAGGTTACGGTACAGACAAAGCGGTCCACATCCTGGGTCAAATCGGGTTCGCCATCCATCGTCGTATAATACAGCACTCGCAACCAGGGGTAGAGTGGCTTCTCGCCACTCAACAACGTCACCGGATCAGCCTTCGGATGCGTGTACTTGTCGCGGATAAGATTCCAACCAGGCGCAAAGGCCGGAAAATTGATGGGATCAATCACCTCAGTCTCCTTATCCTCAAATTCGAGCAAGCGAAGAGCCATGGCACCACGTCGCTGCTCGTCCGAAGCGTCAAACTTGATGGCTTCGCTGGTGACCTTGTCACCGCCTTCCAGAAGGAGTTCGCTGAAGACCTGAAAAATTTGTTCATCTTCTTCTTCATCTCCCTGTACGCTCAGCAGGTGGTTGAGCATACCATACAAACGCGCAAAGGACCCGATAGCCCTATAGCCACCACCCAAGACAAGCAGAGCATCAGAGTTGACCATTGGCCTTGGCTGTGTCGCGCAGGGTGCAGAATGCAACAAGCTCGAGCACAGTTCGGTACTACTACGTACTTGAAAGCAAACTCATACTGCGGAAAGGTCTGCAACATGCCACCACGATCCTCTCGCATGTGTTGAACAATAGAGGTAAGGTTGACGCGGCGACCAGCAAGCAGCATATCAATGCCAATGTCAACGGCCACGAGAATGCCGGTGCGACCCACGCCTGCACTGCAGTGCACCACAATGGGCTGACCGGGGTTGCGGTATCGGATATCGCGCGCAACCTCAATGGCCCGCAGTACCGCCCGCGGTGAGCTGGGGACGCCTAGAATCAACAAAACCAATGCCTCAAGGTCAGCAAGCTATCGTGTGCTGGGCGTGCTTCAGGCGAGTGCCTCATGGCAGGGTTGCTCGTACAACGCACGTACCATAATCAGGCCAGTTGTTGAGGGCGAGATGCTTGACAAAATGTTCCTTGTCGTTCCATTCGAGGCGAAACGTGCGCAATATGAAATCTCGCGATTTGGCAACCTCCTCGGTGGTCACTCGAATCCCACTCTCAGTGACAAGCAGGTTTGGATCCTTTTCTTGGCCTTTGATCCCATCAAAGAGCGCCCAGTAGCTGTGTCGATGGCGATGCAGACAGCCACTTGAGTTTGTTCGTCTTGTTGATCAAGGTAAGGCCAACAACAACAACAACATCAACAACAACAACAACAACAACAACAACAACAACAACAACAACAACAACAACAACAACAACAACAACAACAACAACAACAACAACAACAACAACAACAACAACAACAACAACAACAACAACAACAACAACAACAACAACAACAACAACAACAACAACAACAACAACAACAACAACAACAACGAAAACAAACAAACACCTAGCGCGAGGCAAGACACACGGGTCGAGCTTACCGGTGACATTTAATCTTGTCCCCTTCAACCAAGTTAGTTGCCATAATGATGAGAGGCACCTCGTGCTGAATGATCATGCGCCAGAAATGATCAATCGTGTTGGGCTTTGGGCCTTGGGTGGCAATGTAGGACTGCCGGCCGTCAAACCCACGCACCCAGTTGGCATTGATAAAATCACTGTTCTCAACCTGCGGTTGTCGTCGCACACATTTGCGGGTGGTCATGGGTAAGCGCCAAGAGGAGAGCAGGTACTCAGACAACCAAGTCGGTTGGGTAGACCACATGACATACCTTGACGTTGTTTTCAAAGAGCGGGTCGATTTTTACGACGGTGTCCATGTTCGGCACAATGTTTTTGTAGCGACAGAGTTGAGCGGCGTTCTTGGGCAAATCGGCCAAATTGCCGAGATTCAGTGGCAGGGCATCAAAAGTTGGCTCGTCCACCATCATGTACATGTTGGCCGGGTGGAGGGCATCGTCAATCTCCTCGATAAGAGACAGCTGCCGAGGCGTGGCGATCTTGGTGGCGTTGCGGAACGTCCTCAGCTTTCGATGCACATCGACAGCATCAGCCGTGTCATGGTCTTCCACTTGCAAGGTTGACTTGGAAGCATTGAGCCGAGCCGCAGCCAATGCGGTGGCAGTGACCAGCACCTCCATGACTAGGCTCTGCGCAACTAAATTGGCGCGGACCTGGGTGGCATTGCGCACAGAGCGCGCGCGATGGATGGCCGCGCGTCGCTGCGCCGCCGCCTCTTCCTCCGCCGCCAAAAGTGCCGCCGCGCGTTCTTCAGCTTCCTGACGGCGCTTCTCTTCCGCCAAGCGTTCAGCCTCGGCGCGCCGTGCCTCTTCCTGCTGTCGCTCTTTCTTGCGACGTTCTTCCTCGGCCTTGCGAATGCGCTCGGCTTCCAGAGCCGCTTGACGTTGCTGCTCTTCTTCGCGCAGCGCATCCAACAAGCGCTTGAAGCGTCGACGAATCAAATACACCCGTACCATGCGCACCATACGACCGCCCAGCCTGCCATAAAAACAACATGTGAACCTGGAGAACGAAAACCCAGTGCCTCTGGGGGTCACACATAGAATATCAAGCATATGGGCGCGGTGTGTTGCAACCGCAAGTGGCACATACCGGTTGAGCTCCTCCAGAGCATTGAGAAGCTTGGCCATCACCGAGTACTTGAGAAAGACCTTGCTCTTGCCGAGCTGCGCACCACTCCCGCACGGGTAGATTAGCATCCTTGACCATGGGGCCATGCGCGACAGCATTCCATGCTTGCTTTAACGTCAGAATGGGAAAGCGGGCAAGGTCTAACAAATCAAAAGGCCGCACCTGCCACTCGGATGGATCCTCTGAAAAAGAACTCAGGATTTGCTTGCATGCATCAACTGGCTCAGCTGCTAGGCCTTGCTTGAAGCGGTAGTGAAGCAGCCGATAGCGAGCAACAAATTCATCGAAGAAGAGGCGAACTGCAAAACCTTCGCGGCGAATGCGAATGGTTTCCATCACACCCGTATAGCGGAGCTGTCGGAGCACTTCAGCCTCAACGTAGTCATTGGGCTTTTGATCGTGATTAGGCGCGATACAGCGCACAAAAGACGGCTCTGTCTGGCTGAGTTTGGTAACCAGATCGTTCAGCGACGCCTTGAACGAAGCGCAGATGGTGGTCGAGGCCTAAAAGAGCAAAAGGGAACAACATTAAGGACGGATCGAGCCTGGCGAGTGCGAACATGCAGCTTAGCCATGCGCCTCACCTTCTTGACAGTTTTGGAAACAGGCAGCGAGGGCTGACTGTCCAGGCGTTGCATGCGACCACCGCCACCACCACCGTTGGCACGAAGAACCTGGCGGCGATTCTCCGAGGCCTTTTCTTGCTTGCTTGGATTCCAGAATGAGCGGCGAAGAACTTTGATTAGTTCACGGGCGTTTTCTTGACGTTGATCGCGAAGCGCCTGTGGCTCGTTGGCCGTGAGTCCACCAAAGAGCGTTTGGGACGTTGAGAAGAGGTCGCGCACGAGCACGTTTTGGCTTTCGCGTAGCAGCGAGGTGACTGAGGGCGTCAACGAGTCGCGATTCTTTTCAATCCACCCAGTTACATCGTAGTCGATGGGTCCAGCGTAGTGCTGGATTGTAAAGTGCAGCTTCTTAGACTTTTTGCCCTTTGTGAAAATCTAAAGCAGGTTCAGTCGAATCAGACAAACGGGCGTACCTCTGCCAAGTTGCAGCACGCTGATGTGTGTGTGTGTGCGCGCGCCCACGCGCGTGCTGCTTGTAAATTTGAACAGAAATCGACTCGTGCTACGCGTACCGTGTTGTGCTGGGAGAGCTGGTTTGCCAACTTGTCAATCAGACTCTGGTCATCGGCGTTAGGGAAGCGCGATTGTTCGTCAACAAGATTGAGCAGGCCCACGGGGTTGCCGATAAACAGATTCAGCAACGATGAATTGTCCGTAAAGCTGACAAAGGACGCATCGATTCCTTCCTCTGTCAGCTCCTGTTGTGGGGCGTGCGCGGAGCACAAGCCGTGAGCATTGTATTCATCGAGCCGTGGCGTGGCACAAGCATGCAATACCAACCTGTTGCTGCCATGCAAAAATGTGCGAGTTGAAAAATTCTTGCAGCTGCTCATTTGCGATGTTAATGCACATCTGCTCGAGGCTGTTGACTTTGAGAGACTCAAAGCCAAAGATATCGAGCACGCCGATGGTACGTTTGACTTGGGACATGTCGTGGAGGCCGAGGAGCAAATTTACTTTGTTGACTACCCAAAAGAAGAGGCGTCCATAGAGGGCCTTGGCCATGGCATCGCGTGCGTCCTTGGCATCCTGCTGCGTATTCTCCTTGACAATGGTATCGCCTCGCGTGACCATGATGGTGGAGGCAAGCCCGTGACCCACATCACTGACAGTGCAACCCAGCAATGCGGCTACGGCCTCAAGAGGACCGATGACATCCAGCTTCATGAAGCGTTGCCCTTTGCCTCGGCTATCTCGGTCAAAATCGATGTTGCCGAGCAGTAGAACCAGTGCCAGCATCTGATGAATGTACTCCAGCTCGATGGCCGAGAAACCGGCTAGCTTCATGTAGTCAATGAGCTCACGATACAACAAGGGAGTCTCAGCCGGCATGCCGGCCAGATCGGACTGTCGCCCAGTCCGTGCGCGTTCGTACGGCGTCACACCACCGTTGATGTAAGCAAAGTCGCGAATCGTGCCATCCAAGTGGTATTGCTTGCGCTCTGCATCTGACAAGCCTTCCACGAGGTAGTAGAAGATATGGAAATTGCGCTCGCCTTCAGACTGCAGGCCGGTGTTTGGGGGGAGCCGTGCATTGTGCATCACGTGAGATGGGCATGACTGTTTGGTTCAGTCAGGGGAACACGTGTTTTACAAGACTAAAACCAGTCAACACGAAGCACGGCATTGCCCTGGGCATAAAGACAGACCTGATGCACGACGCGACTTTTCTCGAGAAGATAGGTCGACAGCATGACGCCCAGAGCATGGTTGTCGCGGCTGAAGCCGAGCTCGACGTATTTACCAAAGCGACTGCTGTTGCGGTTCTACAACACATGGCAAGGTATCAGGGAGCAATTCAACACAGCACATCGTTTTGTCTATGCCCCTGGCAAACAAGCCCGCAAATGCGCAAGAAGGGCTGGGCTCACAATTCTTGTCTGTGCGTTGCCAAAGGCCTCGAGCAAGTTGTTGATGGAGAACTGCATGAGGTCGTAACGGTGGAGTAATTCTTGAATGTTGCCACCACTCAAGTCCAAAAGGTGACGCAGGAACAGCTTGGCCGTTTCTGTCTTGCCAGCACCGCTTTCACCGCTGATAACGCAACTCTATGGCCCAACAACAAGCATGGCAGTGTGCAAACCATCCACAAAGGTGAAACAATAGCGGCTCGGGGCCAATGTACAGCTTCAAACGGCTTGGGCCGGGTGCCGCAACCAGTTCCGCAGCCATGGCAAGTATGTGCAGCGCCTGCGGACAAACCTGGTCAACGCCTTCATTGGCCATGGCTCGAAAAGCGCGCAGGGCAATGCCGAAGATATGGGGTCGTCGGCTGATGTCACTGTCAAACATGTAGGCCGCCTTCCATTCGTCCGAGTAGAGACCAACTTCCTGATAAGGGTTGACGGCAACCAAGATATCTCCAACTGCAGTGTAAATCAGGCCGTCGCGGTAGCGCAACTGCAGTGTGCCCACGATGTAGTCCTCTGTGATATCGTTGTAACGAGCCAAGTTGTCTGACGCCTTGTGAGGCTAAAACAGCACGCCGAGGATTGGATGGAGCATCGCCGGGCATCACAAGTGTCAGAGCCAGCGCAATCATACGTGGTTCAAGGGGGTGTTGGCAACAGAAGTTTGTTTGATGTGTGAGTTACAGGCGTACCAGATTTGCGACCGAAATGCGTCGAGCGCCCTCCCCATGACGGCGCGTGCGACGTAAATGACCAGTCATGACGTTTGCTGTTTTACTCTTGCTTGCCTCGTTCACGAGGTTGGCCACGTGTGTATTGCGCATCAGGTCCTTTCTGCACCCACGGCAATGCGTGCATCAAAGGTGTCAGTTGGATAAATAACGAAGGGAAAAATCAAACAAACACGTGAACAATCGCAAAGCAGAACGCTCAGAATGTGGTGGCGTACTTCGCTTTAGCAGGATCCACACGCTTGAGCCAGGGGTGGTGCAAGAGTGCATTGGCCCGCGATCTCTTCTCATGGTCCTTTTGAAAGCATCGGGCCAAAAAGTCCTTGAATAGCTGGCAGATGACCAAGGATGGAGCAGCAAGGCTAGTGAGACGAAATATTGGGATGGGGGGCGGTGCTTGACCAAGCCAAGAGGAGCGAGGGAAGTCGGGGTGGCGAAAACTGCTGTCATGTCCATTCAAGAGTACATGTGCAAGCTGAACAGGCCTACCTTGCTCCACAGGTCTGCGTGTTTGAGCGTGGGTGGGCCTTGCTTGAGGACTTCACCAAGGGCTTTGTCGCGGGGCAGGTGAAACAAGGGCGGTTGACCTTCACTGAGCTCAATGGCCGTGACGCCCAGGCTCCACACGTCGCAGCGTTCGTCATAGGCGTAGCCTTCGGGATAATCGCAAGCGGCGATTTCGGGGGCCATCCAGTATGGGGTGCCGACGGCATGAAAGTGGGTGGCCTGCTCGGCCGGGTCGTACGGGTAGGCGGTATCAAAGTCTGTAAGGCAAACGGCGTATTCATCGTCGAGGAGTATATTGCCGCCCTTGATATCGCGGTGCATAACATGATGCACATGCATATGAACAATGGCTTTGAGCGTTTCTTTGATAAGGAAAGCAACTGTGTTCTCTTCTAGCAGCTAGTGGTCGGACAGGTGATGTGTGAGATACGGACCGCAGAAACACGCTGGCGCGAGGGTAGGATGTGCGAGCAACACTTGGCAAGTCTTCGTGGCGCAGACCTGGGCTTCTGGGCTGGTGGGGTCAAGAAGGTTGTCTTCCATGTGTTCCCGGAGATGACGGGCAAAGTCTTGCAGCGAGCCATGCGTGCACAGCTTGCTGCAGATCAGAACGGACATGCGTCTTGAAGAGAAGGAAGCAAAAGAGTGCGATGAGGAAATAACAAAGGGAAGCACTTGAGAGCGAAGGAGGCGACAAGACCAAGGGGGGGGGGGGGGGAGATCAAGGAGGCGAGGCGCATGGCGGGCTATGTTGGGACATTGGGCATTGCAGTGACGGCATGATACAGCACGAGAAATGATGATTGGGCATACCCGGGGTCCACAGATTTTTTCTTTTCATCAGCGATAAAGGCACCCTTGAAGGTGACAAAGTTGGCGTGGCTGGAAAAACCAGAAGCCACCTACATACAAGCCACGATGCAGACGAAAATGCACGGCAGATGCGGCCAATATCAGGCTGATGACCTTTTTTTTTTTTTTTTTTTTTTTTTTCGCACGAGCATAAGTTGCCAAATGAGCTTGATTAGCATGTTAATTGGTACCTTAATCTCGGCGGCCACGCGTTCTGCATCGTCGGGGTTGCTCAGATTGACCTGGCACATCTGCGCCGTGGGAAAGGATGATGTGAGTTGAGTGCTTGGATGATAGCTTGGCGGGTTCGCGCTGGGCAAGGCGCTCAGGCGGCGCTGGCCTTCTCACCTTGATGGCGATCGTTTCATCGGAAGACTTGAGTGTACCCACGTACACCTGTTGGATATTGATTTGAGGCAGAGTTGGTAAGTTCGAGGCATGAGCGAAGCGGCCAAGAAGCCACGCAAAGTCCTGGGTCACGTGTCGGGAGCCACGACATACGTCGCCTTTGAGTTGTTCATCAATGGCAACCTGGCCCTCGGCTGAGGGCAGGCTGCGCAGGAAAGTGACGGCCTCATCTCCACTCGGTACCTCTAGCCGTGAAGGCGTCATGTTGGCGGCAATGCAAGATCTGTACCGAACCCGAGCCAAAGCCATGAAATTGTCATGAGAATGAGTCAAGGCGCGATTCGTGGCTCTCTTGATGCGGTCCTCGTGCCAAGCTTTGGTGCTATTGGTGCGCGTGGCACCATCGAATCCCGAATGCTTGTTCCTTTGGAGCAGCACGGGCGCGAATCTGAACGCACACCTGGTCGCGGCCAGCGCCTCAGGCTGTCAGTGCCAGCGGGAGTGCATCAACGTACCAAGACTGCCGTTCTGTTGCTGCTTGGTTCTGTCGCTAAACCCCTTGTCGTGTCGGCTGACCCGCGCTACTGGCAGCGCATGGTCCCACACGTCCCAGGGTGGGGACCCCGATCCAACGTCCCACACCACGGCACTGCAAACTTGCCCAGCAGCAACCACTGCACACGGCAAGACTGACCCCTGTTCCCGTTGCCGTTTACAGGTGAAACCGCATGAAAATGTCGTTTCCGCCCACTTCCCTTTGTGTATGTGTGTGTGTGTGTGTGTGTGTGTGTGTTCGCTTTTGTCTGATTTTTGTGGAGAACGAGAGAGAAAAGAGAGAGAAAAATTTGAGAGAGAAAGTTTTGGGAGTTAGTTAACATGTAAAGAGAGAGAGAGAGAGAATTTCCAGGTCTGGTACCAGCGCCTGGGCTTCGAGAGGGCTGGAAGCCCTCGATGCTTTTGCTGCTGAGTGCGGTTTTATGTGTTCTTCTATCTGTCTCGCTGGTCTGTCTCACTCGTGCTTCATTCACACGACACAACAAGCAGATCCGCCCACTTTTCTTGGTGAGCAAAAGCTCGCTCACACGGTGGAGGCCTTTTTCGTAGAGAGAAGCTACCAAAGCCGCTCAGCTAGAACTGCCGGGCTAGCGCTAGCATCACAGCACACCCCTTCTCTCAAAGGACAAGGGGCAGCGGGCTTAGAAGGGAAGAACGCAGAGGCCGAGCAGCCCCCGGAAAACATGGCGCGTGCGCTGGGTCGGATGAGTGATCTTTAGGGAGTTTGGTGTTCACTGTAAGTTTTGCTTTCAAGCAAATCATTGTCAGATTTTGGTGGCGCCATCGCGAATGACGACGACGACGGTCGGCGGCCTCGACCAACCGCTGGAACATAAGGACAACACATAAGGACAACATGAAGTGGTTGTAAAGAGGGAGGACAGTCAAGGTATTAAAAGACGAAAGAGAAGACAGGGAGATACACAAAATGCGCTCTAAAAGTTCTATGGGCTGGCTTCGCTTCCTGCGATTAGTCATTGGCAGCCTCCTTCGCGCAAACGGAGCATCACTAATCAATGCTGCGGATGCCAGCGATGGCTGCAAAGATCAAGACCAGAATCCAGGCCAGGACCACCACAAAACCCAACCAGACATCCTGATACGCGAGTCCCCAGCCACGTAGCATGAGCGAACGCATCGCCGTACTGGCCCAGGTGGTCGGCATGGCGTACGCCACCCAGCTCAAGCCAATCGGAATGGACTCCAACGGCCACAAAATGCCTGAAAGCAGCAGAACTGGGAAGAAAGTGCCCATGGCCATCTGGATTGCTCCAACCTCGTCATGCACCCGCGTTGACACGAACATGCCATCTATCAAGTTCCAAAAGCCGACAACACAATGAGCTCTGCCACTCGGCTCCTCGCTTCGTTCGCCACACTCAAAGGCATTTTCATCAGATTTAACTGCCAAGAGGGCTATTGGCATACACCCCATTGGCTTGAACGCAGCAGCACGTACATGTCATGCCCGAGGTGCCCAGAAGAAGAAGGAGAAGGATGACCAGCAGCAGCGAGCCATGAAGCGGGAGCTTAAAAACCAGGAGCGTGAAGATCAGGACCAGAATCAACTGTCCCACAAGCACCAGCATCTGCGTGCCCACGTGGGCCAGAATAATCTCGCTGGGCACCACGCCAGCCACCCAGGCGCGATCCGTCATGCCGTCCTTGCGATCCATCACAAAGGCCAGCGCTGTCAGGCCAATTGCTTGTGCAAATGTAATCGAAACCTGGGATTCGGCGCGCAGGCCCCGAACACGCATAAGCCCCCACAGCGGTCCGAGCATTCAAAGCCATGTCATGCCAAGCACCCGCATACCATAATCCCAGGGGCGACAAAATCAGTGAAGGAGGACGAGGTGCCACCATACACCGGTTCATCAAAGGCGATCGGGCTGGCTATCAGATATTTGCCGCTCCCAAGGATCTGATCCAACCATCTACACCAGTCGTACACCGTCAGAAGGTTTGGAGTGCACCGAGGTGTGCCAAGAACTGCGTGTCAGTCGCAGCGAGTGTGCCGTAATACAGGGCGCAAACACGCACGCTTCATAGGCCTCCATGGTCTTCTCCACCAGCACAACGCTGATTTGTTCGTTGGTGTTGTCCATGGCAATGTGAATCTGGCTCGCGTTGATGAGGGCTTCATCTGTGGCATGCCCGCCCCAATGCAGAGACCAATGGGATCGTCAGAGCGGTGTAGACGAGGAAAGGTTGGCACAAAGGTTGGCACAATGTTGGGCGAATGCAAAGCGGGCCAGTCGAGCATACAGGGAACGCACCGGCGGTGAAAATGTTGGCAACACGTTCAAGCACATCCTGGGTGTAGTTGACCCCAAAGTGATACATGGCCCATGCCTCGCCTCGTTCAACCTTATGCAAAGCCTCATCCACCGACGTGCACTGACCCAATCCAAATCAGTCGCATGAGGAGATGCCCGGACATGTCCAAGCAAGCAGGAAGCTGCCAGGGTGAGTTGGTGATCGCAAGGTTGAATCCGTGGTGCGCAACGCACCGTCACTTGATTGAAGGTCTTGTGATCAAGATGGGACAGAAATTGGGTCGAGTAGGAGACGTGCGAGTCGGTCAGATTGGCGCCCACGTCCTCGTTGATGATGGCCACGTTGAGGCCAGTGGGGTCGCGTCCAATGGCCAAGCAAAAGAGAATAATCTATGCGCCGCCCCCAAGCACTAGCATTGAGTTGCTCGCGACCATGTTGTCGGGGTCGGTCGAGCAGGCTACCTCATCGGGACTGGCGCATTACCCCCGCCTGCAAAGCGCGCCTCACCTGGATAGCGGGCAAAACAAACTCGAAAACTAGAACACCATAGTTGCGGCTATACAGGACAAGCCGTGCGCCACAACGCTCTTGTAAGGTACGGGAGCAAGTCTGACGAGATGCCATGGTGACCAAAGCCGCCAATGGCCCAGCGCAGGGCTTCACCTGAGCCGAGTGAGGTTCTTGCGCGAGAGGGCCAACAGGTTGCGCCCGCGCGGGGAGCGGCGGTGTCGGTGTTGAGAACGGTGTTCCTTGCTCACTTGATAAGTTTGTGACCCCGAGCTATGAAACAATTTGGACACAGAGGCACGTGATGTTTTCAGGCCGGCTTGCTTGCTCCATGCTGTATGACCTCGCAAAGCTTACCCGCCAGCAAGGGAAGTGCCGATCAAGGGTTCAGACTCCACATCGACAGTGGACGAGTTGAACACGAGCTCTTTCTTGTGGGCATTGACGTTGTGCTTGACGATACCGCTGTTGTTGAGCATGCTGGCACGCTTGTGGGAATCTTGGCGGCTCAGATCAAGAAAGACCTCCTCAAGGGTATCCATTCCGTACTGATTCATGAGTTGACGTGGTGGCGCCTCCGCCAATAGTCGGCCATCTCGCATCATGCCCACCATGTCAGCCTGTTCATCCAAAGCAAGTTTTGAGAATGCATGCGCGCCTTTATCCAGAGGCCTGTGACAGCCTGTACAAGTTGAAGCTGGGGTTGTTGCTAAGGTTCCGTTGTTTCTGCTTTTCTGAAGGACGGTTGGGGGTGAGGGATGGGGTTACCTGGCGTGCTTCCTCAACGTAATGGGTGGTGATGACCACGGCTGTACGGGTAGGGCCATGGGCGAGCTCCACCAGGTGTGACCAGATGCGGGCGCGCAGGAGGGGGTCAACGCCGACCGTGGGTTCATCCTAATGTCAAAGCAGCAGCAGGTAGCAGCAGCGGCGGCATAAGTATGTCTGAGAACGTGGATTGCGCGAGGACGCGTCTTGCTTGGCCATGAGCGTACCAGAATCAGAAGTGGAGGCTGGTGGATGAGCGCTACCATAAAAGACACTGCAAGATGTCGGGGGACGGCGTGAGACGTCTTTGGGCCACGGCACAAATTGGGGCCAGTGATGCTAGGGGAAAAAAGGTAAGGGGTGGTGGATTCAGTTTTCTACCTCGGCGCTGCTGTCCACCACTCAGAGTTCCGACGAGGCGGTCCACAAAGGGGCTCATGTCCAACAGCTGTAGCAGCTCGCGCAGGCGACTCTCAATGCCGGCATCAGCCATTCCATACAAGCTATGTTACACAACTTTGTGTGAGTGGCGAATGACGGGTTATATGGCGACCAAGTCCAAGCAACTTTTGCGTGTGAGCGTTGAGCGTGTGTGGTCGAGAGCAACTCAAGCTGTACCGGCCATAAAAAGTGACAGTCTCGCGGATGGTAAAGTCTCGATAGAGAGCCAGCTCTTGAGGCATGTAACCAACTCCATTGCCCGGGATCTGCGTCCCATTCAACCAGGGTAAGAAGACCAAGGGAATGCAGCAAGGCCCAGGTGAATTTGCTCGGATGATGGACCAGAGGGAGCGCCGGGTAAGGGAAGGGTAGGGTGGCGGAGGGCTATGGATCACGACACGTACACTGCCATGTGGATCGTGAGGCTCGCGCCCAAAGACCAGCAAGCGTCCGGCATCGATGCGCAAGCGGCCGACCACGCCTGTCATGTATTGGAGGAGCGTATCCGGAACGTGAGACATCCGGCAACGTCAGTGCAGACAGACTAGGGCACCCGGGTCTGTAGCAAGCACAGGATCCTCGTACATTTCAAAAAAGACGTTTTGCCCGCACCCGAGGGACCCAGCAGGCCATAAATGCAACTAACACATGGGGTCGAGATTTCAACCAGACGGGAGATGAGAAAGGTCATGTGCACATGGCCGCGAGCAAACGCGGTCGTTGGGAGCGCTTGCTTCATCCAGGGCTACAGGTGAGCACAGAAGGGGCGAAGCAGTGGACTGCTATCATGTCTTACCCGCGCGGGACACGCATGTCAAAGTCATGGACGATGCGGGTCCGGCGGTTCAGCGGGCCATAGCCTCGAAACACACCACGGGCCTCCAGCGCCAGGCTGCCTTGATAATCACCATGACCCATGCTGCTGCTGGTACTGCGATCCAACAAGCTCGCCATTTCCCACGGTACTCCTCCTCCCACTTGTCCCAAGAACCCTGTAGTCGCACGAGTCCAATGACGCGTCGAGCCTGTTTTCAAGCAGGCACTGCTGCTCTGAAACTGCCCGTCTGCCCCGTGCCACCGTTGACCTGCTACCTCGCTCTGTGTGTGCTGGCTGCAACGACATTAGCTATACCCTTAGGTAAACGTCGTCAAAGTTAAAGTTATTGAAGATTGTATATTCTTGGTATTGTATAATAGCATGTAGCGATGTGGCAGTAGATGTAGACGATGTACTGGAACTTGCAGATGCCATTGCCTGTTGATGTTTTTATCTGACAAGTGAGAAAGAGAGCGAGAGAGAATTTTAATTTTTTTCGATTCAAGGAGCAGTGGCAGCGGCGGCTGGTCAGTGGGTCAGTTTTGATGCGTGAGTCCACGAGCGGTGTGCGGGGTTTGTCAGTCTGAGGCGGGGGTTGAGGTTGGGCTGAACGGGCCTCGATCGCAGTAGTGAATGGCTGGTGCTTGTGTGAGAGCGCGGGCAGATCGACAAGCCAGCTGACGGGTTGGTTTGGTGATTGGCTTACATGTCAGGTACATCTGGATGAGACTGAGCTTGGATGTGTGTTGACCGCAAATCCTGTTGCCCGTGAGCATGCCTTCCCCCGACGGCGCCAAGGCTGGCGCTGCCGGCGTCGGTGTGTCGACGAGCCCCTCTTTTCAACTGGCCATCACATTCTTTGTGTGGTATGCGGCCAGCTTCATGACGGATGCCTACAATAAGCAGGTGGGTCTATTGCGATGACCGGCCTTCATGGTCTTCAGTCTGTCACTCAACCTCTTGCGGGTGCATATGGCTGTGTAGATTCAAGAGCGGCTTCGCATCCCCCTGACGCTAACCTGCTTTCAGTTCTTGGCCGGTGCCTTGACTACCACTTTTATTTTGCGCGGCCTCAAGCTCGTGCCCTTTGTCGCCCTCCGCCGTGATCAGGTTTCGTGTCGTTGTGCACTGGATATCGAATGTACCTCCCGCCCGATTGCGCTCATGCCTACCTGGTGTCGTCGCAGATGCGCCCAGTGGTTGCAGTGGCTCTGGTCTGGACGATTGGCTTTGCCACAACCAACCTTAGTTTTGGCGTCGCCAAGGCCGGCTCGGTCGCCTTTACGCACGCGGTCAAGGCCACCGAGCCCGTGTTCCTGGTCACGGTGGCCACACTCTTCTTTGGACGTTCCTTTCCACTCTGTAGGCTCCTTGCTTTCTAGTATCAGCCCGCTGAACACACCCATGCAGTCATGTCTTCTGACCCTGGTCTCTCCGATCTCTTGCTTGGCATAGCCGTGTGGGCGGCCCTGCTGCCCATTGTTTTTGGAATTTCACTGGTCGCCGTGTCCGATCTGAGCTTCTCCGTTACCTCTGTCGCCATGACATGCATCAGCAACGTCTGCTTTGTTCTTCGCTCTCTATTCGTGCAGCAGATATACGCCAGCGGTGTACGTGCTGTCATGTCTCGACCACTTTCTCCAACATTGACCTACTCGGATGCGTGCGCTCACCGGGGGGACCTTCACTCTTTGGGAATTGTAGGCGGCCGATTCATACAACGTCTTTTACTACATTTCGTGGTTTTCGGCAGCCCTTCTCTTCCCGATTGCATTCTTGAGCGAGTCGGGCACAGTGAGTTTGGATGGTGGAGAAATGCACCGACCTTTTTCCAAGACGCGCTTCAACGTAATCTGTTCGGCCCGTCAACTTATACGCCGGACCAAACGTTTGCACGTGATTGCCCTTGGCCGCTGAATAGTTGTGGGCGCATTGGGTGGAATTGGACGGCACGCTGTTGAAGCTGCTGGCTTGGAATGCCTTTGGGCACTTTAGTTATAACTTTGCAAGCATGTCTCTTTTGGATATCATTTCACCGCTCACCCATTCCATTGGTACGATACCTTGCTTACACACATGTCAAGGCTGGCACGCTCACCTGTGTGGCCTGCAATCAAACCTTGTGCTAGGCAATGCCTCCCGACGCCTTGTACTAATTGTGGGCAGCATTTTGTACTTTGGTCAGCCCTTCCTCTTCAAGCACATGCTCGGTGTCGGTACGTCGCCAACCCCACGATGATGCGAGCAGGCAAATCGGGCAGAAGGGCGGAAGGTACCAATAGGTTGGCAAAAGAGAAAAGAGAACAAGAGATGAATGTCACATTCGCAAGTGAGCCTGCTTTCACCTTGATGTCCACTACTCTATGGGTGTGGCTTGACGCGCTTGCAGCACTCCTCATGACGGGCGTGTTCATGTACACGATCGTTTCCAAGCGCAACGCGGCTGCCAAGGCCAGTGCCGCTTCTGGCTCCACGACAAAAGCGGCCTTGGATACACCGGTCGGTTTTGACAGCCCCCATGTTCTTATCGTTTTTTTTTTGCCTCGGCCTCGCCATCTTTGGAAATCACATCTTACAGCATGCTCAAAACAGCAGGGGAACTTTGCACGCGGCGCAGCAGCACGTCGCACCTTGAGCACGTCCTCCAACTAAAAAGCCAAGCTAGACTGTCTGGATTTTTGTGGTTTCTGTAACAGAGGTTGGAATCGATTTTGTAGACGGTTAGTGACTGGGCCTTTTGGCCGCTCAGGCGACATGGACACGACGAAAACGAGAGCATGGAGAGCCTGACAAACTCATAGAAAGAAAAAAACAAACAGGAAACAAAAAGTCAAGCAACGTGAAAGGCAATAATGTGCAGGGATTGGGTGCGCTCAGGGTAAATCAAGGAGGTTGTGTTTCTCTAGCGTCTTTTGTACATTGGTGTGGATGTCTTTGAGCATGGAGCTCGTCTCTCTGTAGAATGGAGGCAGCGCCAAAGTCAAGGTGAACAAAAGGTTCCAGGACCGAATATCTTGCTCACGCGGGTGGAGCTCATACCGGATATATTCGTCGTGTGCTCGATCCAAGGTTTCCTCGCTTGTGACGCGTTTGATCAGGTCGCGACGCGTACCCAGCGACTTGAGTGCCACCCAAACGGCCGATTTGATCATGAAGGAGTGATGCTTTTGCAACGTCTCACTGCCACGGCGCATACATGGATGCAAGCGTAAGATAGAGAGGGCGTTTGTGTTTGTGTGCCTATGCCTGTGCCTGTGCATGCCGAGAGCTCTTGACTCAACGACTCACCTGTAGGCAGTCTGCGCAGCCTGAGCGGCGCTGTCATCATCGGCAATCTCCAACACCCGCTCCAAGAAGCGCACAAAAAATTCTTAAAGGTTTGCAAGGCACAGACAGAGCAACGAGCAAGGTTACGGCACCAGAGCAAGGCGGGGCATGAGTCAAGGGTGGGCCAGGCTAGGTAAGAATGTTGAGATCAGGCACGGGCAGCCAAGCCAGACGCCATGAAAATATACGCGAGACACGCATGGTTATACGAACCGAGGGCACGGTGCAGGCGGAGAAGTGTGCGGCTTCCCGAGCGGCCACCGCGGGGCAGAGTAGTTGTGTTGTTGGCGACTTCTGCCTGTTGTTGATGCGAGGGAGAGAGAGAGAGGGAGGGAGAGGGATGAGAGGGATGAGAAGAGCACATGTGACGGTGTGAGTTTAAAGAGAGAGCACAACTTGAACGGGTTGTGCGCCAGCTCACCTCGACCATGTTTTCGAGGAATTGATAAGCCTCGCCTGAGAATTCGTGACACATCAACGAACAGTCGCGGGGTAGCAGTTCCCAGCCAAGGGCTATAGATCAGTACACGCAGGATGGTGTGTGCGCGTGTGCGTGCGCGCGGGGACTTACCGTTTTTCTCGCGCAGCTCCTGGAGAATCTCAATCTTGGCGTTGATATCTTTGGTCACAAAGCCAAAGACCATGCCAAAGCAACCAAGGACATTGGAAATCTCACGAAAGCAAACAAGGTACTTGTCCGTGTCCGTTTGTCCGTGGGATGAAGCCTCGTCCAAGGACTTGGCGGTGTCGTGCAACTGCGGGACGGGAACAGGCGGTGAGAAGCCAGCCGATTGCAGCTGGCAGGCAACCTGACGTGGCGACGCACCTTAACAAGCATGATCTTGGATAAGGGGTGGGAATAGGAAATATCAAGCTGTCTTGCAGGGCTCAGAATTCAGGCGCAGAGGTGCTGATAGCAGGCAGAATGATACGGTGAGCAGAAAGAAGAAAATGCCGGTGCGCCATGGAGGCCTGACTGCTTGTTTCAGCTGGCCTGCAGGCAGGCGCAATCCGTCGCATGTTCGTACCTCTGCGCTGCACGGACAAGTCTACAACATCTAACCCCCGCCGTCAGTCGGCAAGTCATCCAACACCAGAGCTCACGTCTTAACCGCAAAGGCCCCAGTCAGTCCAAGTCAGTGGCAGCGGAGGCGGAGCTCGTCGACCCGGCAAATCTCTCTCTCTCTCTCTCTCTCTCTCTCTCTCTCTCTCTCTCTCTCTCTCTCTGTGACAGTTGCCCCCTTCCACAACATTTCTTCTGACATTATGTGCCAAAGAAGTGTGATTTCAAGCACATTACCGTACTTGATGATGTTGATCAAGCATCTCTGAAACTCTGCTGGTGGGATTGAACATCTCTGGCTTCTGCTGTGTTTGCCTTATAGTTTGATCTTGGCATCCTGGACTTTCTCTGAAACTGTGGCTTGTAACCTCTTTCTTTTATTTTTCTCGCTTCTTTCTCTCTCTCTTTCTGTGTGTCTCTCACATTTCGCGGCGAGCAGCGGCAGCCGAGCGGCGGCGGCGGCGGGGGAGCAACGGCGCTAGCGTTGCCATTTTAAGTGCAGTGATTGGGAATCTACGATAGTGCTTCACATACAGACATGTCGGACCCTTATGGCACGGTGGGCGGCGGACTGCGCCTCAAGGGCATGAAGTACGTCCAGCAACGCAACGATCGTCTCCGTCATCGCACCTTCCAGGGACACGGGGCCTTTTGAGCCGATGCTGCTCCCCGCACACATGCTCACGTGTACGCGCGGTCGATTTGCAACTCTGATTCAAACCCCGTCAGGAAGTCGAAGAAGAAGAAGAGCAAGAGCCTCGACACCGACAAGCATCAAGAGGCCGTGAAGGAACAGGTTCAGGAGCAGGTTTGTTTCGAGCCAACAGGCTCCTCCGCACCCGGGGGCAGGCGCGTGTGGTCTTTGGCTTTGCAAACCAAGTGTTCTGTGTCTTGGTGACGCTTGCATCTCTTGCTTCTCACCTCTTAATCTGGGCAGGCGACGGTTGAGCTGACGCCAGCACAAAAGGCATACCGCAAGGTACAACTGGAGCGCGAGATGGAACGCATTCGCAAAAAAGCCTCGCTAAGCCACAAGGACAAAGTCGCAGTACGTTCTCGGCTAGTTCGTATCCACCATATTGACCGTCTGCCTATACACGTAAAAGTGTGCCGAGGCAGGGGGCAATTTTCTCACGTCTCGGCGCGGGTTTCATCACGATAGAATCTCAACCGCTATCTCGAAAACTTGAGTGAACACCACGATATTCCCAAAGTGTCTTGGACCAAGTGAACCAAGAATGACCGGCGACTGCAGAAAGGACAAGGACAAATCCTGTGTGGGGCCCCTCAAGCCTTGTCTCAACGACTTTCTCCTTTATTCGTGGCACTCCACTTTGTCTTTTCCCTCGTGTTTCGACCTCCTGATTAGTTCCCTACCCGTAATTGAGTAACGCAACGTCAAGGCTCCAAGCCAAGCATCGCCCGGGGCATTTTCTTGCATGCAAAGGGCAGACCAATCTGTCGGCACTCAATTGCCTCCGGCCATCTGCCAGCTTACTCGAGTTTGGCAAGCAGATGGTTGCGGCGTGCAGATCCAAACTACAGAGACTACTGAAACAAAAGTTCTCGAGGCGCTTGCTCAAGACTACTGCGGTTTGTCATCTGCGCGGATCAATCGAGGCAGCGAGGTGAGGCTCTCTCAAAGTGAGGGGCGGCAATTTACGCAGGTACGCGGATGACATACCAGGGAATTGCTCGTCCATCATGTCCAGGAGCTGCTGAAGCAGCGCGGGCTGCACGGGGACGCGTAGGTGCTCAACGCCATCAATCTACTCAGTTTGTATTGTGATCAGCATTGAGGTGAGGGGAGCTGCGTTGCGCTTGAGCGTGTGGCCATGGGATACGGGCACGCGGACCTTTCGACTGGTGACGAGCTGGTGATCGCGGTACTCGGTCATATAGGCCTTTAGTCGGGCCTCGTCATGCGCCGAAAAGTTTTGCTGGCACAGTGCCAAATAATCCGCAAAACGCAAACCTGATACAACGCAGAACAACGTGCCGTCAGAGGTTGCGGATCTTGCACAGCAAGTACCAAACCAACAAACAACAGACAAACAAACACACCCAGAACAAGAACAAGAACAACACCACTGCACGCACCGGGGTAGTTGGGGTTGTCAAGATTGTCACTTTGATGTTGCAAAAGGGTCCAAAAGGCTTTGCGCCCGTTGTGTGTGAGCGATTTCATGACCACCACGGCCGCTGTCGAGTGCATCATATACAGCCAAACAAGTGAGCGTGCAGCTACGCGAGTCGAGGCAGATGCGACGTTGGCCAGGAGCACACACAAACCTGCAACGCTGACAACGCTTGTGCGAGAGAGGATGCTGTTGGAATACGCCGTCTCCAACTTGTAGTGGGCAAACGTTGTTGCCTCGATCCAAGCAAATGAAAAGCGCGCCAATTTGCCCTGGTCCCACACTATTCAAGATGGATGAATGGGCCCATTCGCACGACGTTTGGGCAAGCGACACGAGAAACAATTGAGAAACAAAGTCCAGAAAAGACAATGAAAAACCTCAACGAGCAAAACCGATAACAACTTGGTGCCACAAGGCCTCGACCTACAGAGCGGTGCATTGACGTGGTCAATGCTTGCAACAAGGCTCACACTGGGCAAAGCAGCAAGGCCGCTGAGAATCGTCTACAAGACACGGTGCAGCCACAAGTGCAGGTGATGCAAGGGCATGTGCAAATTCTACAGCTGAGGCGTGCCAAAGGCAGTTGATACAAAGGTCCTTTTTCCCCAAGGCACTCACCTGGGCCAAGTCATTTCGTAACATCAAACCATCAATGTTATGAATGAGAAGCGTCATGGGCGCTACGTTTTCTTCTAAGCACGGAAAGAGGCACACGCCAGCGGAATAAGAAGGACATGCCTGGGGCCGGTGCAAGGATCGCAAGGCAGGGAAGAGGCAGGCACCGACCTGAGCTGGCCAAGGTAGCAGCTATGAAATCCAGCTGCTCGAGCGCGCTGCGAAATCGGCCCTGATAGCCCAGGTGGCGCTCGCAAATCACATCGAGAACCTGGAAAAAACAGGGAAAAGATGCAAGGTTAGGTCGGTAGTCACGCAACAAAAGAGACAGTCGGTTGTGATAAAGGCCGTACCTGTTTAATACTCATGGAGGGGAAGAAGCCGTTGATAGAGACAATGTCCCGGTGACGCAGGTGTCGTTCCGCAAACAGGGTGAGGAGCTCCTGCAGCCACACACGTACAAAGGAGCCGCCATTCCCGTATCATGAGATCAAGGCATGCTTCAGTTCTCAATTGCAGGGAAACTAACAAGGGGGAGGGGAGGAAGCAGAACCACAATCCCACCTTTTTGGAACCAACACCGTAGAACAACAGGTTGAACCCGGCCTGAAGACGGCTTGCCCATAAGTGAAAACGTTTCTCATGCCTAACATCACCCGCCAAGGTTGTGTGGGGGAAAGCAAAGGGTCAGCAGAGGATGTGCACCGTGGTCATGGGCGTTCTCAAATGAGTGATGTGACAGGTAAGACGAGGTATAGGAGTGTATGTGCGAGGGTGAGCGGGGTAAGCGAGTGAAACCAACCGCAGGCGAAGGGCTTCGCGCTGAGAGGTCCACTCATCTGGAACGCGTTGCAATGCCGCCTATGCGTGCATTGGAGTAGCAAAACAAGTCGGGCAGACCGGTCATCAGAGGTTTGGAATGCTGCAGGGGCCAGTCAGAGAATGCAAGAGGGACCCGAGGTGAGCCCTAACCTCTACGTCATGTTCCTTGAGCTTCATGAGGCTGGTATCCGCGAGCGTTGCGTCTGAGGTGGTTTGCCCTCGTCCATGATGCTGCTCGAAATACTCGTCTGCCTGATGCTCGTGGAAGGTATTCAGTTCGGTGCCCAGAGGGTGAGGTGCCCTCCGCTGCAAAAGGGGTTTGTGCAACTCTGGGCACAGAGACTTTGATGCTGGCAAAAATGCTCACGACCCAGTGCACACACTCACATCGTCTCGGGCATGTGAGCCTTCGTCGTTTTCCTCCTGGGTAGAGGCACGGGCAGCAATGGCGGCCGCAGATGGTGTTGTGGCACTTTTGGCCGCCTGTTCCAACAAATCAAGGATCAGCACTCGTATCAGATTTGAGGCATGAAGCAAAGCATGTTTATGGAGGGCTGAGGGAGGGGCAAGCATACCGAGCTGGTGCGCTTAGCACGCTTGGTACGTGGCTGTCAGGCAAAGGAGGTGGAGGAGGGATCGAGTGAGTGAAGGCATGTTGATGGGCATGCCGAGTGGGGGGCATGGTGGTCACAACATCAAATATCCACCTGCTTTGCAGCTCCGCGAGCAGCAACAGTGCCAGCGCTGACAAAGAGTCAGGAGGAAAGGCGCAGTTATGAGCTTGAGACAGATGGCGACGCGTGGGTCTGATCACGTCCTATTCAAACAAAAGTCGGGGAGATGCAGAAACACACCTGTCTTTGACATTGGTCATGAGGGTGGCCACCTCGCTACGATATGACATATCACGGCATCATAGGTGAGTTTCGAGGGCAATCCCGCCAGTGGGACAGGAAGAAGCAGAAACATAAGGCAGACACACGGCCAGTCTTAATCTTACCCGAGCATTTCATCTCGGGCAACGGGGGTGGAGAGGGTGGTTTGAGACGTTTTTTGTCCCTGATCTGCCATGATGGCCTTGAGGGTGCTGGAGGGGCGAGGTAGTGGGCAACGGGGGCGTGAGGGGAGCACGGGTATGCTCGCATGGCTTGAGCTTAAGGAAGGCGTTGGCACAGGACAACACACATTGGGGCAATGGCCATTTGGCGGCCTCGTCGGCGGCGGTGAGGACCGGTGGCGGTGGGCAGGCCTTCTGGGAAGCGCAGTAAGGGGCGGGTTTTGGTGGTATTGATCACATGGCGGGGAAAGTCGCTACTCCGCAGCACGTCCACCTGAGCACGGGCAAGTGCGCAGGGGACAAAGGGGCAGAGGAAGAAAGTGAGTCTGTATGACATGACACTGGGACTGCCGGTTTAATATGTGTGACACACCGGCGCGGCGGGGACGGCGGGCGCGTCGATGGGTTTTTGAGCCTGATCTCGGGACAACGTCTCGGTTGCAGCGGGGGCATCGGCGCTGGCCGGTGGTGTTGCATCGACTGGAGTGGGGCGGGCACGGCGCTGGGTAAGGGCGGCAGAGTGTTCAGCTGCTGGTGTGAGACGGAGCAGGTCTTGGTTGAGGGCCGTGGTCTTGGGGCCGGCCCCGATGGTCAAGGGGCCCTTTGAGCGAAGAGCATGGGTGGTGTCGGATGACGGTGTTGTCGAAGATGGAAGAGATCGATAGGCGGGGAAGGGGAGGGGGAGGAGGACGGGAAGGAGCAATTGTTGAGCAATTGTGTCCAAGACAAGCAGAGTGAGCAAAGTGACTGGCGATGCAAGAGCGCAGGGGGGGCTGGCTTGCATACCTGCAAGGGGGCGAGGTGACGGGTATTGGAGCGGGTGACGGTGGGCAGGGGAAGGCCAGGGCGGTGGCCCCGCTTGAGGGGGCCAAAGACCTTGCTGCGGGGCTGATAGCTGGAGAGGCAGACAAAGGTATCAGCTTCGGGAATGCCCGGGACATCATGGAGGAGGTAGCTCGTCTTGTTGAGGACGGCGCAGTGTCGGACGAGCGCGGCAAGGGGCACGGCAAGGCGGACGCTGGACAGGCAGACTTCTTGCTTGTAAAAGGTGTGCGAGGCAGAAAAGAAGGTAATCTGGGGCCAGTAGAAGAAGCGAAGCGTGGCCTGACCGGCCGCCGAATCGATCTGCTCGATATGCGCCACAAATAGCTGGGCTGGCAGGGACAGACTCGCATCATGCCATTGGCTCGTCAGCACGTACTCGCCCGCCCGATACTGTCCGGGCGTATACGGCGGTGCTGCTGCCTCCGTCCCGGCTGAACCCGTAGCCCCCGCCATCTTGCCCCGTTTCCCCCCAGCACAATCACTGCCCCGCCACAAACGGCGGCCACAGAACAGTCAGCCACGACCCAAGCGATCAGGGTTAGGCGTGTGAGAGATGAGAGATGAGAGAGAGAGAGAGAGAGAGAGAGAGACAGGAGAGAGAGAGAGAGAGAGAGCTTGAGAGCTTGAGAGAGAGAGAGAGAGAGAGCTTGAGAGAGAGAGCTTGAGAGAGCTTGAGAGAGAGAGAGAGAGAGCTTGAGAGAGACAGAGAGAGAGGGAGAGAGAGACAGAGAGAGAGAGAGTTTGAGAGTTTGAGAGAGAGAGTTTGAGAGTTTAGAGAGAGAATACATGCTGCAGATGAAAAAAAGTTGAACCTGTCACTGATTACGCCGACTGTTTATTTTATCCTGTCTTGACAGGTTTTGCCATCCCCGAGACCTGTTTCGACAGGTTTTCAAAGCTTCCAAGTTAGGGGCGCCTATTTTTATCGGGGGAGGAGGAGGGGGAGGGTGACGGGCGACGAGGCGGGGAGGCATTTTCTTTCTGTGCGCTTCAGCTCAAGATCCAGCCACTTCAGACCGACATCAACAGCCCGCCACCGTTCCTTGGCCCCTTTGGACATTTTGGATCGCGTTGTTCCCTCAACCTCAACCTCGACCTCGACCTTGACCATGGCAGCACTGCCCCCTACATTGTGCTCGGCGCGCAGCATTGCTCACACCATTGCCGATTCGCAACATGTGTTGGGTGCCAGCCCCGTGCACAGCTGGGCCGACAAGACACGCAGCGGCCACGCCTTTCGTCTCAGCCCTGCTCAAGCCTGCCAGCCAGGCTCGACCGACCTCACTGATCACACACGCCGCGGCACGCGCTTCCGCCCCACCCCAACGACCTTGAACATGGATTTGATGCATATGGGCATGGACATGGACGATGACCTGGGCATGGACATTGGCTCGGAGGCGCTAGCCTTGACCTCTTCGCAAGACTCGATCTCTTCTGCCACCTCTTCAACCACCAACTCTCCACACGCACCGCGCCTGTCGCGCCACTATACCATCCAATCCACCGTGGCCGAGGCACAGGCGTATGGCTACGAGGTGGCTGAAGCCTCCTTGGCTCGCCCCTATACCCGTGGCCTGGCCTACGCGCTGACCGACTCGCCTGCCCGCCACCTCCGCTCGGCCCATCTCCACCGCGCTTGAGCCTATTGCCTTTTGCCGAGGGCCCCAATCCAGGTGGATGGAGGTGGCCACCCAACACCATTTATTTTGCCACAAGGCTGTCGCACGCATCATTTTAAAACATTGTGCTTATCCATTTTTATTCGTCAATCGATCCGACCTTTGCGTTTTCATCATCATCATCATCATCACCATCTTCTCTCTCTCTCTCTCTCGCTCGCCGAGGCCCAAGGCCGTTGACAGACAGGATATTAGACAGGATAACATTGTATAATATTATTTATTATTATTTGACATGCTTTCAGTGTGTATGTTCACCGTTTCAAGTCAGGTCTTTTGAGAAAAAGGAAAACAAAAAACAAAAAAAAAGACTCGCTGAACTCAATTGACGTCATACCACGGATACAAAACGTGGCAAGCCGAGTCACACGGAAGAGCCATGACATTTAACATGCTCTTGGTGGTCGTGTACGCAGTACACCCAGGCCAGGCCTGGCAAGAAGAAGCAACTACTAAATGTAAAAAAGGGACGATCAAGAAAGTGGACGACTATCGGCAATCAAAAACATGATGATAATAACGGTGGGACAACGGCGCCGAGGTTGGCGACTTGAGGACAAAGCGCAAGCAAATATCACGCCAGCACGGTGTTGTCAGTGTACGAGGTGAGCGCGCCCAGAACTTGGTCAAGGGCCTGAAGCTGAGCCATGGACTTGAAGTCACTAGACTGGGTGCCGGCGGTGAAGGAGGCTGAAGGGGCGGCCACCGCGCTGTCCAAGGCACTGGACAGAAAGGATTCGGACCAGACATCGTCAATGTGCGACCAGGCGTTGCCGGTAGGGAGGGCGGGAGGAGTGGCAGACGAGGCCAGGCTGGCAAAGCCGGCTCCGAGCGTCTCCTCCGAGGCGGTGAGCAGGGTGTGGACGTCAATGTCGTCGAGGGAGCTGGCGCTTTCAAAATCCGAGCCAAGGAGAGATTCAGATCCCGTGTGCAGCTGCGCCGCAATCTCGCGCACCAGGTCGTCCAGGGGCGCCAGGGGCGCTGGGGCCGTGAGGGTAGCCTCCACAGCAGGGGGTTGGCCGACAACGTTGCCAATGGCAGGGGTGGTCGTTACTGGAGCCTGGAGCTGGAGCTGGACGGTTGTGGCACGCGGCTGGTGGCGATTGATGACGGGGCTGTGACGGGGGCTGGAGGTGATGGAGGAGGGGGAAGCGATGCGGTTTTCGTGCTTGCAGCTCTCCAGGACTTGGGGCAGGCGGTCGGTCGTGACTTTGTGAAAGCGACGGAGGTGCTGACGCATGTGGTCGGCGCGATAGCAAGATTTGGTGCATTGGTCGAGGACGCAGCGGAAGGGATGGGCATCGGCAGGCCAATGGATGCGCTCATGGCGGCGGAGCTGCGAGTGAGTCCGGAAGATGGAGCTGCACTGCGTGCACTCAAAGCCAGCCTTGTTATGCATGGTGCCGGGTCTGAGCAAAAGCGCAAAAGCGTGCGCAGACGGAAGTTGTCGACGGAAAGCCGGCAGTAAAATGCCGAGTGTGCGGTCGTTGCCAACAGGATTGAACTGGAACAGAACAGGGCAGGGCAGGGCGGGCCGTTCAAGACTTGGTAGGTGGTGGTTTTACACTGTCTCAGAGCAGAAAAAAAGGGGGGGCAACTTTGAGTTGGCGCTCGTCTTCTTCAGGTTTCAGACGAAACGTCCATGGGCATGAGGAAGAGGGTGGGTTGGAGGTAGTGGGTCTGTCTAATCGCCGGAGCTGTAAAATGACCATTCGGCCAGAGCAAAGTCCATGTGTGATTGATCGACGTCAGCGCGACAAGAGAGAGAGAGAGAGAGAGAGAGAGCAGAGCAGCAGCAGCAGGAAGAAGGCTTCACAGAGAGAGAGGTATGATCGTTGATGAAATCTGTCACAGGCTGCAGTTATCAGGAACTGGGGCGCAATCAAGAGAATTGAATTTTGAATTTTGGCTTACCATTCCCTTTGGGCAGCAGCATATGGGTTTAAGACGCCAATCACACACAACAAGAGCTACCTACATCCACATACAGCGTAGGCGCTTTTGTGTGACTTTTGTGATTTTCTTACGGGTTGGGGGTTTGGCTGCAACAGCATGCCATGATTGAAATGGGGGTATCGTTCGTCCAACTTCGCAACGTCATTGGTTCCACTACGAATGCTGTACATGGCAACGGTTTAAGAAGGGGATGCAAGCTACGTTGGACATGATGGATGGCGTCAGGGATCAAAACCTCCACGAGGTTAAGAGGATGCTTTGAAGGAACCGTGACGAACAGTCTTTTGTTTCCGAGTATCGGTACCGTGGAATGTCACCCAAATCAATTCCCCGGAAGGCATGGGATTTCCATACTTGATCCCCCAACCTGTCTTGCCGGTTTTTCTTACATTCTTCGACTTCTTCTCCTTCTTCGATCGTTATGGGGAAGGTCTTTCGTCTGACATTGTCATGACCTGACGTAAGGACGTGGACATGTTGATCAAGGCGACTTTCGGTGCTCGATACCAACAGCAGCTGATTCATTCATGTTGTCCGGCCATACCACGTGCAGAAAAAACCGACCCCGTTTGCCCACAAATGAGGCCTTTTAGTGGGAACTGCAAACTCTCCCCTTCCTTTTCGCATGAAAAGCGGCATCAAGAGCCATGTAACTCCAGGCAAAGGGGCTTGGGACAGAGCCCTCCCCTGCACAGCCGCATTGTCCGCACCATCTTTCCATCGAACTTGACTGGAGCACCGGTCCGAACCAAATCTTACGCAGTGACTCATTACAATGTCATGTTAATACGAGTGTTTGGGGACTCGACACAAACGCTCCGTCCGGCACGCCTGGTCCAGCAAACTCACCCCACTACCTTCCTGAAATCGGCGTGAGTGATGTCTGTGGGTTGCATCTGCTCAGGCTCTCAAACCTACTCTCCGCTCGTGCGCATGACAAGACGGAGAATGGTTTTGCGGCGGATGCTGGCGCATTCATGCCCGTTGTGTATCGCCATTTTTCTTCGGATGCAGCAGCAGTTTTAGCATCCTGCTCATCCTAGCGTCTTGGGTGCCAAGCATCAGACCCATTATTTCGTACTCAACGCACGAGCCCTCTCACGCTTAAGACCCATCAATTTTCATCCCTGTCGTTTGGGAGCATCCTTGTCAAACGTGTATCTTAAATCATCTTACACCTGCCAAGTCTGAAATCGTCCACACAACATCTACCCCCATGCCAAGTCGGTAAAGGTTCAGCCATAAGATTGCTCGGAATGTCACACGATTCCACCCCAAGCGCGGAAAGCATCCTCATTTCGTGGTCAACGATAGGGCTGTGGGATTATTGCAAACGATTCGAGGCCCTCATCAAATCAGCTTGAGAGGGTTGGGCTGTGGCGCAACGCAAACCAGAGACATGTGTGAATTTAAGGCAAGATTGGAGAGGTTTGCCCTGGCTGCACAAATTCTTCCAGCTAGTTAGCTAGGTTTCTGCGTGTAGTGCAGAGGTTTGATCGCGCGTCCTCGAGTTTCCCACACATGCACTCGCTTGGCATCACTATCGCAGAAGTCGCTCAGGGCGAGCGTCAGCCTTCTTCTAAACCCACACCCGCGTCCACACTCATGCTTCATCTCAACACTAAAATCACCTCTAAGATCACACACCCGCCTCAGCACCAGTCCCACACTCCCGATGTCATGTGAAACTTCCCCAAGGCCGGAGCTTGGGGGAACGCGGGATGCAGCACGAACGTCACACTCGTGTTGGGGAGACCACCACACCAATGGTTCACACTCTTCAAGTCATCCCCGCACGCACAAATGGCATCCCCACTACCGTCATCAACCAAGCGCATCATCATCATTATGTGCTCCAACAACCACCCGGTTAAAAAGATCTTCAAGCGTCTTGGTGGTTCATGGCCCGGCTCTTTGGGCAGGCGCCTCTCTTCCCCCCCCCCCCCCCCCCCAAAAAA